GTGCTGGGCGGTGCCACCGCCTAGGCCAATTCAGCTCACTGGTTGGGCTCCAAACTTGGCCCAAACCAGTCCGAACTCGGGCCCAATTGGCCCCTACTTGGGTTATAGGATTAATACCTAATCTTAATCCTAACTAACATGCTAACTATGAATTTAAAGACATTTTCTAAGCTATTACAAAGTCCGTAAGTCAAAGACTTCTTCCAGCGAGCTTCCGGCGAACTTCCGGCGGTCTTCCGATAAACTCTCGGAAACCATTCTGCGGACTCCCGGCAAGCTCCTAGACTTCACGATTTGATCTTGGCGAGTTCCGATGAGCTTCTTCGGCAAGCTCCGATCTTTCTCGGTGAGCTCCGCGAACTTCCAATGAACCTTCCGGCGAGCTTCCGAAAAACCCTTTGGCAAGCTCCCTACTCATTCTTGGCTAGTTCCGGCAGCATTCCCGACGAACCTTCGGACTTCCGTCGAACTCTTGAACTCGCAATGAATCCTTCGTGCTTGACTCCGACACTTTGTTTTGCTTTATGTCTTCATCATTATCGTAGTTAATCCTGCACACACAAGCAAAAACTCTACTCCGATCTAGACAATTATTATAAAGCAAATTGACATTCTGTTGCCCGGCACGTCATTGGTTGGCGCTTCGTCCGATTCTTTGGCGCGTCATCCTCTCTTGCGGCTTGTTGCCCAATCGGCGGTTGACCTCCGCAACGTCGATATCCTTGGCGCAATTCTGCTCTTGGCCCGATGCCCGACGTCCGAAGCCTTCTGCCATCCAATATCCTAACGTGATCTCCTCTGGCGCAATGTCAATTCCTCCTGCCTTAATTGTCTAATCCTGATCGAGTAGACCTGCATCACTCAAAATGCAGTTAAACATAAACATAATTATCAATTGGTTTCATCATCAAAATACGAGATTCAACACAAACAACTTATTGCTGTGATATCACTTGTTAGAAAAAACTATTATAGCGAAATATCAAAATTGGTTCCTCGTCAAAATACCAACCTGTTATCAAAAGCAAATATTAACCAGAGTAACTTAGACAGTAGAACAATAAATCAGTCATAAAGTGAAACATTGAATTTTTTACGTGAAAAACCCAATGCGGGAAAAATCACAGGACCATAGTCCACTTCAAACTTCCACTATCACCAATAATGATAATAAATTTACAATAAATCTTCTCTAGAATAATCAGATGATCATAATAACATAAGTACACATTCAACATTAACATATCATCATCAATAGATTTTATGAAAAAAAAAAAATAGATCTCATAAAATGAATCTAGTAGGAAAACACTTTAGAGAGGATAAAAAAAATTTAATGTAAGAATTTCTTCAGATAAAATTTAAGTCAAAACCAACCAAATTTAACCACTCGATCATCTAACAAAAACCCAAAAAATCTTAACTTTTTTTTCTCCATTTCTTTCTATGTTTCTTTGTCAAGACGTCACTATTCACTGCAGGCAATTAACTGTTCGCGGTGCGTGCTGGGCACGTCTCTATAGTTTTTTCTTAATAAATTAGATTTAGACTTAATAATTTTGGGCTCAATGCGTAAATCATCTGATCCAAGCCCACAACATTGTGATATGGCAAGATGAAAGTATTCCAATGTTTGATATCACTTAGCTCGATCAGGATATGCTATGGAATAAGTTGTTCAATGTTGAAAAGTGAGATGCTGATTGATGACGATGGAAAACCTACTCCGGATAAAGGGATGATGATTTCGTCAGGATCTCCACTGATGGAAGAATAGTATTAAATTAATTTTGATTAGTAAGAAACATATATAAAATTATACTTAATTAGGCTACTATTCAGGGTAGTAAGATTAGAATTTTATTAGGTGAGAAGTGGGTGGGTTCATCTCTTAGTGCAACTTTTTCCTTTCTGGCGACTTGTAGTGGCTGCTTTTGACTCTTCCTCTAAAGATGTGCGGTGTCTGTTCATGGATGGATGAGATGGAGAACAGATAAAAAAAATTATTGAGCTATTTTTCTTCACCCATCGATTTCCTCAACTCCTCTCATGATGATTTTTATTTGAGAGCCCTAACATCCTATGGAGACATTAAAAAAAAAACAAAATCCATAAAATGGCAAGGTTGCAAAAACAACGTGAGTGGGACGATATTTCAGTTGATTTATAATGTTAGATAAATGTATTATTATTATTATTATTATTATTATTATTATTAATTTAAACTAAAGATTTTGTATAAGAATATTCCTTTACAACATGCGAAACAAAGTTCTCAAGTGTCCAAAATAAGATCTCTAAATATAGAGGTAATCCTCCGTTAACGAGAGTTTTGCACTGTGTTCTTACTAGAGTTGGTTTTCCCATCAGATTAGATACAGTGAATCTAATATCCGGCACAAACATCCATGGTTATATTTCATGATATAGAGACAATCATTTAGTCTGATCTTAGGTGGCGATATTAGAATTTGATTTTAATCTATATATTATACTTAAATATGAAAATATTGAAGTTAAATTGATTTTTTATTAGTATTAGTTTTAACTTAAATATTTCAAGTCAATGATTTATGATTTAGGCATCACTTTATCCTTCAAACGAATACATTCTATTCAAGGTTTTTTATTTGCAAACTATAATACATATATATATCATAAAAAAATTAAAATAGAAAAGGAAAACCATACGCATAACTTGTTTTCCCATCACAAATTGGAAGGTGCATTCCCGCCCGTTATTGACCCCTACTCTCCTCCTGCTGCTACTATAGTCAACGTAGTGGTGGTGCCCAAGGAAGTGGGAGGATTGCACTACAATTCTTGCCTAATTTGTGCAATGTAGTTGATGGTTTATGAAAGTTCTCCATCCTTCATATTTCTGATCCACAAATATGAAACTACACCAATCCTGCTTAAAATATTATGCATCATGAAAATAAATAAATAAATAAATAAAATAATGGATCGCTCATCACACTAGTATGTACAACTTAAATCAATTGTAGACTGCCATGAGGCAGCTGCTATCCTTCTCCCCAAGGAAATTGGCCACGATGGCGCCCACATCATCAATGCTGACGCCGAGACACAATGGATTCTTGGGAACGCTGGCATTGCCGTTGCTCTGATTCAGGACTCGGACATTAGGCCCGTCCCTGCACTTGCCCATGCACTTGCACCCAACGACAGCTCCTTCCACGCCAATCTTCCTACTCAATTCCTGCATCAGCTCCGGTCCACCGGATCTCCTGCACTTGCCTCCCATGCACACTTCGATCTTGTTCTTCGTGGGCTTCTCAACGGAGCAACCCAAGGATAAACCGGAGCCGTTGCTGGTGCTGCTGCATTCCTGTGCAGGCTTCGGTTCAATGTGATGCTCTACCGCTCCCGTCTCAGACTCCGGGGCTGCAACAGCAATGGGTAGGTTCGCTGAATCGGGTTCTCGGACAGCTTGAGCTCTGAGGTTGCTCATCCGGACAACCTCGTGGCATTCGCCGTCGCTCGATTCGGAGGAAGAAGAGCTCAAGGAGGATTCATCCTTCTTCCTAGCGGCCTTCGCCGCGGCCTTGGCTTCCTTTCGCTTTCTCTTGGAATCCTTCTCTTGGGCTCTCAACCGTGTCAATTCTACCAGCAAAAGTTGTGCTGCCTCCTGATATCGAAATAACAACACAACATATTACAAGTCAAATTACATTAATACCCTTCAAATATGTACAAGTATTTTACGTATTTTATATTGTTCATGTTTTTTTAACTTAAGCGAATAGATATTAACATGATTATAATATATATATATATATATATATATATATATATATAT